GGGGGGAGAAGGGGTTCAAGAGGCGGGCTCGATGGCAGCCATCCAGGCGTGTGGCCACCAGATAACCGCGCCATTCCATGTGCGCTGATAATTCAACACAGTCAACATGCCTTCATACGAGGCAAGGTTCTCATGTCGAATCCACTGCAATAATTTTGGCAAAATACGACGTAATTACTAACAAATTCGTCTTCGAAGAAAGCATTCCGGTAAAGCTGAAATGCAGAAGAATGCGGGGAAGAAGAAAACGGAAATCGCTATGCTTAACATGGTGACCTCCGTTTTCTTGTTCCCCGCATGTTCTTCTGCGTTTCAGCTTTACCGGGATGCTTTATTACAAGTATGACGACAATTGTTTTTCACAGAATTAGTGACTTTTCGTCCGTTTTATGTTTCATTCTAAAGTGCAGATCGAACCGACGCGGGCGATGATGGACGAGAGGGGGGCTCAGGTTGCGCGCGCGCCGCTGCGCCCACGTCCAACCGCTCCGCGTCGATGGAGTTTTTGTCGAGCGAGAGTGAGATGGAGAACCTGAGCGCCACTTTATTTGCAGATCTCTCGAATCGCGAGCGAACAGCGCGGTAATGGCAAAAGTGGAGTGAGTGGAGTGCATTCCCACGCTGTGTGGCCTAATGGTGGAGGAGGAAGACGTCGTTCGGCTTGAGGCGGGGTATGTACAGTCGGGTACAGAGCAGTGAGAGCCATCTGATGCCATCATAAACATAATAGCGCAAGTCGCATTTCACCCCCTCCCTTCCTCGACCGTAACCATTTTTTTAACCGCCCCCCCTCCTCCCCCTGTACTGTGCATGATTGCATAATATAAAGGGTGGAGTGATTCGCCCCTTCCTCCTTTTTTTGTTTGCACTGTACCGGATTCAGGCGTGCACGCGGGCGGGCTTGCCTATAGCATTGCTCGCCATACGGCACCGTGCGAGTGTATGCAATCCGTCCGCACGCCTGGCCTGAACGGTACAGTCTTAGCGAGAAGTCAAAAAAAATTAAGAAGGACGGGTCGGATCACCTACCCTCCTCATAGCACTGCTAGCAGTGCGCTCTGCTTTTGGGGGGTCGTGTGAGGCACAGCTGCCCACGAAAAAGGACACGTACCACTCAACCCACCCATCCCCTCCTCCCCCATCCGACTTAAAGGGGCCGTACTTCGTGCTGGCTAGCGTGGAGCTGCTTGGCGGAGGCCGCGCGGCTGAACGGGGATTTCGCAACATGTGGATCTTAGCCACCCCCTTCCATCCCCACCACCTGGCAGTGCCACCACCGAAACAGCCCCCCCC